CCATTATTGGGAATTTTGGGTCTGTTTGGGACCATTATTGGGAATTTTGGGTCTGTTTGGGACCATTATTGGGAATTTTGGGTCTGTTTGGGACCATTATTGGGAATTTTGGGTGTGTTTGGGACCATTATTGGGAATTTTGGGTCCATTTGGGGCCATTCCCGGGAATTTTGGGTCCGTTTGGGGCCATTATTGGGAATTTTGGGTCCATTTCGGACCATTATTGGGAATTTTGGGTCTGTTTGGGGCCATTATTGGGAATTTTGGGTCTGGGGCCATTATTGGGAATTCTGGGTCTGTTTGGGGCCATTATTGGGAATTTTGGGTCTGTTTGGGCCCATTATTGGGAATTTTGGGTCTGGGGCCATTCCCGGGAATTCTGGGTGTGTTTTTCACGGATCCACGTCCACATTCCCGGAATTCCGTGTCCCATTCCCGGGATTCCGGCACTCACGTCGTCGTAGACCTTGGTGGAGGATTCCACGTAGGTGGATTTGTCGGCGAAGCGCGGCCGAGGGAAGATTCCGGCCAGGCGCCGCTCCCGGTCCAGCTGCGGAATTCCCAAAAATCCCAAATTAACCGGCGGCAAAATCCCGAAAATCCCAAATTAACCGGCGGGAAAATCCCGAAAATCCCAAATTAACCCATGGGAAAATGGGAAAATACCCAAAAATCCCCAGTCAACCCGCGGGAAAATCCCCAAAATCCCAAATTAACCAGCGGGAAAATCCCCAAAATCCCAAATTAACCTGCAGGAAAATCCCGAAAATCCCAAATCAACCCACGGGAAAATCCCCAAAAATCCCAAATTAACCCACGGGAAAATCCCCAAAAATCCCAAATTAACCAGCGGGAAAATCCCCAAAAATCCCAAAATTAACCCGCGGGAAAATCCCAAATTAACTCGCGGGAAAATCCCCAAAAATCCCAAATCAACCCGTGGGAAAATCCCAAAAATCCCAAATTAACCGGCGGGAAAATCCCCAAAATCCCAAATTAACCCGCGGGAAAATCCCCAAAATCCCAAATCAACCCGAGGGAAAATCCCAAAAATCCCAAATTAACCAGCGGGAGAATCCCCAAAAATCCCAAATTAACCCACGGGAAAATCCCGAAAATCCCAAATTAACCCAAGGGAGAATCCCCAAAAATCCCAAATTAACCAGCGGGAAAATCCCAAAAATCCCAAATTAACCGGCGGGAAAATACCAAAAATCCCAAATTAACCAGCGGGAAAATCCCCAAAAATCCCAAATTAACCCACGGGAAAATCCCCAAAAATCCTATATCAACCCAAGGGAAAATCCCCAAAAATCCCAAATTAACCCGCGGGAAAATCCCCAAAATCCCAAATTAACCCGCGGGAAAATCCCAAAAATCCCAAATTAACCCGCGGGAAAATCCCGAAAATCCCAAATTAACCCACGGGAAAATCCCAAAAATCCCAAATTAACTGGCGGGAAAATCCCCAAAAATCCCAAATTAACCCACGGGAAAATCCCAAAAATCCCAAATTAACCCACGGGAAAATCCCAAAAAATCCCAAATTAACTGGCGGGAAAATCCCAAAAATCCCAAATTAACCCATGGGAAAATGGGAAAATACCCAAAAATCCCCAGTCAACCCGCGGGAAAATCCCCAAAAATCCCAAATTAACCGGCGGGAAAATCCCGAAAATCCCAAATTAACCCGCGGGAAAATCCCCAAAAATCCCAAATTAACCCGCGGGAAAATCCCCAAAAATCCCAAATTAACCCGCGGGAAAATCCCCAAAAATCCCAAATTAACCCACGGGAAAATCCCCAAAAATCCCAAATTAACCAGCGGGAAAATCCCCAAAAATCCCAAATTAACCAGAGGGAAAATCCCAAAAATCCCAAATTAACCCACGGGAAAATCCCAAAAATCCCAAATTAACCTGCGGGAAAATCCCCAAAATCCCAAATTAACCCGAGGGAAAATCCCGAAAATCCCAAATTAACCCACGGGAAAATCCCCAAAATCCCAAATTAACCCACGGGAAAATCCCGAAAATCCCAAATTAACCCACGGGAAAATCCCCAAAAATCCCAAATTAACCCACAGGAAAATGGGAAAATCCTCAAAAAAAACCTCTCAGTAAAACCCCAAATTAACCATTTTTTCCCCATTTTCCCCATTTTTTCCCCATTTTAACCCATTTTTTCACCGTTTTCCCCCATTTTTTCACCATTTTTCCCCATTTTTTCACCGTTTTCCCCATTTTTTCACCATTTTCCCATTTTTCCCATTTTTCCCGTTTTTCTCCCCAGACTGACCCTGACGTCCATGACCTTGGTGATCTTCCAGAGGTCCATGAGCCCCACCAGGACGCTGAGCCCATTTTAACCCATT